CGATGAAGAGAAAAATCGAAGCTCACCTTAAAAAAATGAAAGGTGGTAGTTAATCAAGATCAACTAACACGATATATAGTAACTACCAAAGCCGAAAACATAATTTCGAATGAAGAAGCGAAGAGAGAAGCCCACCTTAAAAGAATGAGAGGGTGGTAGTTAATCAAGATCAACTAACACAATATATTGTAACCACCAAAGCCAAAAACGTAATTCCAAACGAAGAAGTGATGAAGAGAGAAATCGAAGCTCGCCTTAAAAGAATGAAAGGGTGGTAGTTAATCAAGATCAACTAACACGATATATTGTAACCACCAAAGCCGAAAACGTAAATTCAAATGAAGAAGCGAAGAGAGAAGCCCACCTTAAAAGAATGAGGGTGGTAGTTAATCAAGATCAACTAGAAGAGAAAAATCGAAACTCACCTAGAAAGAAAAGGTGGTAGTTAAACAACGAAGAGAAAGAAAGAAAAGGGTAATAGTTAGTGTTTTAAGAAATTAAAATCAAAGGACAAAAAAATGTACGTATGTTAAAAGGGATGACGATTATCTGTTATTATTTATGCTGTCCGAATAGGGATGTGTTACATATTACAATTTAACATTATTGCATCATTTGATTTAGAAATTGTGTTCAAAATTACAATTACATAAAAATTACTTGTCTGATATTTAAACGAAACTTCTCCGATAGTTATTAAAATATTAACCCAATTTCTTCGAAATGACAAAATATCGGCAAATTATCTACATAGTATGATAATTATAAAACCTGTGATCATCTGACATTTGTTTACATTTTTGACCAATCAAAATTACTATGTGATTATAGCGGGGGTGATAATTCGAGATAATCACTGGGTTAACTCTTCTTAAATCTTCCCGCCGAAGCTCTCTGTATAAACACTACTATAACATCTTTACACGTTGATAATAATCACTTTGGGTTTAAGGGTGCTGAATTATTAGCAGGAGCTCTTTATAAAAATAGCACTTTAACTGAATTATCTATTAGCAGGAATAAAATTGGATCTAGAGGATTAAGGGCCCTGGCAAAAGCTCTTTGCAAAAACAACGCTTTGACTACTTTAGATCTTCACGACAATCAAATTGGTTTTGAAGGTGGAAAATCTCTTGCAGAAGCTCTTTGCGTAACACTGCTCTGGTTGATGTAGATCTTGATTATAACCACCTTGGTTTTGAGGGTGCTATAGCACTAGCAGAAGCTCTTCGTAAAAACACTACTTTAGTTGCTTTAGGTCTTCACGGCAATCAAATTGGTTTTGAAGGTGGAAAAGCTCTTGCAGAAGCTCTTTGCGTAAACACTACTCTGATTGGTATAGGTCTTGGAGCTAACCAACTTGGTTCTGAGGGTGCTATAGCACTAGCAGAAGCTCTTCATAAAAACACTACTTTAGCTTCTTTAGGTCTTTCTGAAAATCAAATTGATTTTGAAGGGATACAACCATTATTAAAATCGCTTTACAAAGAAAATTCTACTCTAACTATTTTAGACCTTTCTTTTAATCATTTTGATGCTGAAGAAGGAAATGCATTAGTTAGAATTTTTTGCGTAAACAAACCTATAATTTTTTAAAGCCTCGATCAAACGTGCTGAATTTTATATCGGGTCTTTTTGGCTTTATATTATTGTTAGCTTTTTTTCTGAATTAATGATGTGTCTAATTTTCTGTTATTTTTTTCACAGGATGATTTGTTTTTTTAAAAAAAATAAATATTCGTGTATATATCAGATGGCTTTTGATGGCTTTTGATATTCAAACAACTTGGATAAAATTCGGGCAGAATTTGACAGTTAATATTGAATAGATCGAAATTTTATTACGGCAATTCTCTTTAAGCTATTCATTAAAGTTATTCAGAATTGAATATATGCAAATTTAATTAATTTTGATGCAAAAATAGTTACTTTACAAAAATATTATAGTTTAGTAATTAAATCCTGTGACGCCTCTATGATAATTACAAAGTTCTATAGAAGTTGCATTATTATACATGTTTAACAAATTCATCTTAGAGAATGTAGATGCAAAAAGTCGTTAACACTGCAATTAAAAACAAACTTGCTTTATGTTCAGATTATAATAATGTTTAATAATCTGTTACTTATAATAAAAATCCTATCTTGAAAATTCGCATATGCCATTGGGATTTGATTTTGTCATAGTAAGTTGTAATTTAATATTTAATATATTTTTTTTATTATTGAATCTCCGTAATTTTGAAATGTTCTAAAATATCATTAATTAAAATCGCTCTTTGTTGATGATATTTCTAAAAACAATTCGTCAAAATTAGACTGAAATTTGGACATATTTTATATGAATATTTATAATTTTTTAAAGGACAACTTTTAATTTTTTTCTAGATTTAGGTTAGAGTTTAGAGTTAGTCAATTTAAAATAGAGATCTCGCATCATTAACGCGTCAATAAGTAATTATCAAATTCTTTATTGATACGCGTTTTCATCTATTTATTTTCCCAACTAAAAAGTTTTCTATTCTGTTGGATCAGTTTTAACAAAATAAATAACCAAGATTGTTTGATTTGTTTCATTTAGTGAAGGAATTTAAAAATATTAAACGTAAATAGATAGTTGGAATACAATAACCTAATTACTTATGATTGCAATGGAATTTTTTTAAGAAAAGCCTTAAAAACATTATCACAATATTTCTTGATTTTGTTATAATGATGCTTAGATTATTATTCTTATATCGTAATTATTATAGTTTATTATTAGCATGTTAATAGGTGTATGGCCATTTTGAATATACAGGATAATATCTGTATATACCTATAACGAACTAAACATTCAGAACTAAAAACATATATATATATAATTTATATAGTGAACATTCATAAGGCTAGATAAAGGGATTATATTCCTGTAACTATTCATATTAAATCGCATTAGGTTACTGCTTGAGAAACTTAAAACACCAGACATCAATCATCTAACTAGTGTTTGAGATGTAACATCAGGCTTTGAAATCAATAGTGTTTTAGTAAATTCATTCATTTTTCATATTCTATTTAAATAATCTCTAACATGTTATTCTTCTATGAAGCTCATAATTATTGATTTAATTTAAATTGATTAATTACTGTTTTTTCACCATACAATTTTCATTTCTTAATTCATCTGGTAGTGAGTATCAGTTTAGGTTTAAAAAACCATGTTTTTTTCCCCTTAACGGAATGTCCTCGGGCATTTTTACAACCCGTAATTTTAATTTTAATACTTTATAATTGCAGAAATAATTTATAATAATTATATCAAATTAGTACGTGGTTTATTTGTTGATAACTCAAAAAAAAAAAACATGTTAGAATTTAAAAGTTCAAAAAAATTTCTATGAATGAATTATTCCATTTGGTCAATTTCAACTTCTACTTCTGGGATAACTCCAACGTTTTCCCAACTCAAACATTCAAGAAATTTCGCATCCAACTCTCTAATATCACAATTAGGGTTAATTGCAATAGTATCAATAGAGTTACCCTCCGCTTTATCTAGAATACTTTCATTAAGCGTGTAATTCTTAATGAAATCGCAAGAACGTTTTATTGAGAACTGAGAAACTTTTTCAGTAGGAATTAACTAATTACAATTATAAAAAAAAACAAATAAAATCAATCAACATATAAATATAAGTGATACGTAATATGAACATTCTGAAAATTTCTTAGACATCAAATAACACTCACAACTTGAAAACCATGACAAGCTTCATCATAAACTTCAAGAGTGACTTCAGTCGGTTTCTTGAATGGTGATTTAGCAAAATTTGTTGTAGCATATTTTGGTAGTTGAAATTTACTCGGATCAGAAGCTTTGAAACTGAATAAAATATTTGAATCCAGAAATCTTTCACCACTGCCTACTTGCTATTTTTTTTTTTTTAATAAATGTAATAAATATATTTAATATATATATAGTACGTATATTTAAGTGATAACATCAATATGATAATCCAATTAATTACACATAAAATGGGCGGCAGATTTCCTAAACTTTCTGCTAACATTGGACTAACATAAGGAATGGCCAAAGCTTCATTTGCGCAATATAACCTAAATCTTGGAACTTTGGTAAAAGAAGGATGACCAACTACATTTGGTTTTTTTTGATTAATTTTTTCCGAGAGAATTTTTACGCGTTTGAGATATTCAATTGACATAGAGGATGGTGGGCCAAGTTTACGAGAGTTTAGTTTGCCACTAACGAAGTCTGTTTTATTCATTTCGGGTTTCCATTGTGATGCCATACTACTTGTCAGATCCACCCATGGTGACTTTTGTAAATTTATTGTTAAAAGTGAAATGTAATAAGAAAAGAAATAAATATTTATAGTAGATAAATGTTGATATATACCCATAAAACAAGTCCTGCTGGCAATGGTAAACCAACATCACGAAGGAATAATGCGGTAGCAACAGCTAATCCACCACCGGCACTAGCACCGGCAAATACAATTTGTTTAGGATCAATTGGTTCAAATCCTGCTTCCGGTCCAGGATTAGTAAGATATAGATATGCTGCTAAAACATCACAAAGCGGTGCAGGAAATTGATGTTGTGGTGTAAGACGATAATCAATTACTAATTATCGAACATTATATTAATTAAAATGAGTAAATATTTTTGATTCATCGGTCTAAGGGATCCAACGATTAAAAATTTAAGATAATTTACCCAAAACTGAACATTCAGCATCTTCAGCAATTTTTTGAGCAATACGGCGGGATGATTTAGATGATCCCGTATAATATCCTCCTGGAAACAAATAAAGTACTACTCTTCCTGTGTCCTTCATATCCTTAACTTTAACCCATTCTCCACATAATCCATCATCATCAAAATCCTTCCATTTTTCATCAATAACGTCTTCATATATTTTCAATCCATCCATCAAATACTCCCTGCTTTTGACCCTATACTGTTCATCCAATTTAACCTCGTTTATAGAGAATTTTTTTGGTGTTATTGCAGGAATAATACTTTGTTTCTTTACTTCTTCTATGGATATCTCACTCTGATATGCCATATGTTTTTGGATTTGTTCTAATATCTCATAATATTGCGGAGAAAATGACATTTTGTATAAGCAATTTTGGTTACCTTTCTTTTTTTTTTTTTTTTAAGATGAGCTCTTTTTCCAGTACGGTAATCCTTTTTATATTTCTGCAGCTGTGCAGTATATTTTAGGAACAGTTGTACAATCATGAGCATTGGAATACAGGTTCCCTGGTACTTATCCGATATATTGCCAGATTTGTAGAATATCCACGGCATCTTAATATTTTACTTTATATATTAGTTACTGATATATATATATAAGTAAAATCCAGAAATATCGGGATGCCAATATTCACCCGTTATTTGTTGCATGACCAATATGCTACTATTATGTTATCGATATATTGCAGTTTTATGACAAATCTGGGCAATAAACCGGAATGTGTCGGAGAATTTGTGTTCCGATACTCATGCTTTCGACTCGTGTAGTCGTTGAGAAAGTCCTTAGAAGCCTAAACATTTTCGGATTGTCCTGCAGAAACTAGCAGATTACTGTTCAGCTATATTTGGAATATGCAATATGCACGTATTTGCTTATTAAAATTTTTTTTAAAATTTCAAAATTAGAAACTTTTAAGAAACTTTATTAATTATAGTAGCCTCATACTATTATTTGTCCTTATACAGCCTAATACAAACAAACCAATTTATTAATTAACCAATCTTAATAATAGTAGTAATTATAAATTGCGATAAAGATAACATTCTTAATCTATTGATTATAATAAAAATTCATAGTTGAAATATTAATTCTAGTTTAATGTATTAAATCACCATCATCAAGTCTAATTAATTAATCATAATATTGGCAATTTACAAATTGATCTTTTTGATGAATAATTTTCTGAATTTAACATTTCAGAAAATCACACTTGAAATTTAAGTGCAAGAATGCGTTTGCAGTTTTTGTCGGAATACTATATTTGAATCGTATCTATACAATTATCAATGATTAATTATATATTCTATGTCCATCTGAGTTGAATGTTCAGATCTATCTGCATATGTTCCTCAAAATTTTTCAACAAATTCAAGTTGTACGTATCCATTAAAAATTTACCATAATTAAATGATGCACTCATGCTTACTAAATATATGCCAAACTTTATATTTATAGTTATACAGTATTTATGAAGCTATAGATACACTAATACTATATTATCCGGCAAACTCTTATCACGAAAAAATTTCTTTTTGTTATTTTTTTCATGTGTTACAACGTAATCATGTTTATTCGAATTAAAACACAGTTAGCCAATCACGACTTGAGAGCTATGATTATGAATTGCCGGAAAACACAAATATTGAGTTATGCGTTGATAAATATTATATACTTATTCAGTCCAATTCATAAATATCAGGCAAATCAGTATTTAATTTGACATTAATACTTCTTTAGGAAATTGAATTGCCGTTTATTCTTTCAACGTCATTAGTAATAATAATACCCCGTGATCTTGATATAATGATCGGGGTATTAATAAATTCTCTAGATCCAGGCATTTGAAAAAGGTAATACGTATTCAAAACCCTGGAAAATGATGCATCATATAATCACAAAATACAATATTTTACTTGAAATTAAAAAAATGTATTTACTTTAAGTTCATCTAAGAAATTAACTCGCTTATTAGTTTATATTATCTCCAATGAATAAATTACTAGCATTATTTTCTTTATATAGTCAAACCTCTCTAAGTGCATCCTATAGGGATCAAATTTTTATAACATGCATTTGGTAAATAATAAGAAAAGTGTATATATGGAAGTCAAGTATATATTTGGTCCAGAATTTTAAAGTACATTTAGAGTGATTAAGCATTTAATGAGGACGCATTTAGAAAGGTTCACTATACTAAAAAACTTTGAACGAAGATTACTCTATGTATTCGATCATATTTTTTTCCTATTTTAATTATATAATCTTGTAGAATTAAATAAAAAATTTCATTCAAAGGTCTGGTATCTATAAAAAAAAAAAGCTGCAGCTTAGTTTTCAATCAATATTTCTCAACGGCTACCTATCCAAATTTGATAAAAATTTTTGTATTTTAATTCTACAAACCTGTAGATTAAAATAAAATTATTTTCATCGAATTTGGCTTTGTAATTATTGAGGAATTTTTATTTAAAATTCAAAACCCATGATCGTAATATTTGATTTTCATAATTTTCGGCGTTTTCTTAAAACTTTAAATGAAGTTTTCTCAATAACTATCAGGTCAAACTTGATGAAACTTTTTTTTTTTTGTTATGTTTAATCATATAGTCGTTGAGAAACTATTGTTAGAGGATAAAAATATCATTTAAAAAGAATCATCACATGTTTGCATAGTACGACCAATCGTGATTTTAGCGGCAACCATGGCTAGATTACTATGTAACGACACAACTTCGGCAAAATTAAAAGTTTGATTGGGCCGAGCAATATAAATTTGGAGGTTTCTGAAATGTAGACAATCAACTAACACTAAGAAAACAGGTGCTGTTAATGTCTGAAGCTATATAGATATAATAATCTTTTACATCTCAATGAGTTATAATGTTTTTAACGCAAACACTAATTGGCTCAGTATCACGTGAGCGGAATCCAGGACCATAGTAAGTCCTCGCTACGCTTCGGACAAAAATAAATTCTACTTTCGTAGCATTTTTACACTAAAACTTGCATTCTGATTGGCTAATCGGGTTCTCATGGATTTTGAGTCACGTTTTATTTTGCCTCTAACAGTAAAAATCTATAATTGAATAAAACTTCTTGTGTAATTAAACTATTAATATTAGAATATAGATTAAATTTCAGATTGGAATATCTATAATTGAATAAAGTTTCAGTTTGTAAGAATAAAATTTTATCGCACTTTTTAATTTATTGTGATCAAATGATCGAAATCTTCGAGATTCTCTAAACTTAAGGCTTTTTTTGCGAATAAATCTAAATTCCTTGCTAGCAAATAAATTTCCCAAAATTCCTCTTCTAATTTCGCTTTTTCATTGTATTATCAAGTAATATACAAGAGCTGGTTGTTACTACAGCTAAACAATACGAAAAATCTCGGGGGTTTTTTTGTATCAAATTTTTAAAAATTTTTTTTTAACTTTGAACGAAGATATCTTGACAACTACCAAGTCAAATTTAGTGAACTTATTTTATTTAAATTCTACAAATCTGTAAAATTCAATATATATATATATCGAATTTAGATTGTGGTTGTCGAGATATCTTCTTTCAAAGTTTTAAATAATTCTCAAAATAAAGTTACGAAACAATCACTAAGTTAAATTTAATAAATTTTTTTATTGAAGTTTATGTATCTGTAGGATTCAAATAAAATAAAAGTTAATCAAATTCGGCTTGATAGTTGTCATGATATCTTCACTCAGAGTTTTAAAAAAATCTCAACGTCTATCAAAATAAAAGCTGTGCCAAATTTCTCAAACATTGAGTGAAGATATCTCATCGAATATTAAGCTAAATTCAATATTTTTTTTTTATTTGAATTCTACGAACATGTAAATTCGAATAAAAAAAAAAACAAAAAGATTTTATTTAATTTGGTGGTTGCTGAGATATCTCGCTCAAAATTTTCAAAAAAATTCAAAACATCTATCAAATAAACATTTTTTAAACTTTGAGCAAAGATATCTCTACAACTACCAAGTCAAATTCGATGAATTTTTTTTTTTTTTTTTTACTTGAATTTTACAAATCTGTAGAATTAAAATAAGAAAAGGTCACCGAATTTGGCTTGGCATTTGTCAAGATATCTTTAAAGTTTTATAAAAACTCAATCCATCTGTCTAAATTAATTAGGAGCTGCGCCAAAATTTCTCAAACTTTGAGTGAAGATATCTCATCAACTACTGAACCAATTTAGTAAATTTTTTTTTTATTTGAATTCTGTGAATCCCTAAAATTCAAATAAAATAGTTCATCAAATTTGACCAAGATATCTTCGCTCAACATTTTAAAAACTCCCGTTTATCAAATAGAAGCTGCACTGAAATTTTTCTCAAACTTGAGCGAATATATCTCGACAACTGTCAATTATTTGAATTCTACAGATATAGAATTCAAATAAGAAAAAAAAAGTTTATCAAAATTGAGTTATGGTTGTCAAGATATATTCGTTCAAAAGTGAAATTTGAGCGAAGGTTCTCGACAACCACCAGGCCAAATTAATAAACTTTTTTTTATTTGAATTACGAATCTGTAGAATTCAAAAAAGAGTTCATAAAATTTGGCCTGTTGGTTGTCAAGATACCTTCGCTTAAAGTTTAATAAAGTTTTAATTTAAATATCGGTGATGTGTGATACACAAAATTTGAAAAACTATGTTTTTTGTAAAAACTAATCATTTTGCGAATTTTATAACTTTAATCAAAAGGAATGCCGACTTTTATTAGTTGATTTATTTTAAAAAAGCCAAAATTTTAATGGAATAACTTAAATTACATATTTGTCAGATTCACTTCAAATTTGAATCCAAAATGTCATAGTAAAGGACATACTTTTAAAAATACTATCCTATAAAGGTTTTGGTCAAAGAATTAATTACGCAAAATTCGGTTTTATTCTTGGTCAAAAGATTCTGCGCAACAGCCAATCATATTCCAAGATCAGTAAAAATAGCAAAATTTCTTAAATTTTTAACATAAACAATATAAAAAAAGTTTGTGCGTAACAAGAAAAATGCCATATCTAGTTTTACAATAAATATGAATGTTTACATTTTTCTTTCCGTCAAAATTATTGTTTTACCTGTCAACTTTTAAAAAATGAACGCGTTACCAAACGAGTGCCTTCATGAAATCTTTAACAACCTTCGAACTCATTATAGAAGTTTATTTTCGTGCCTTCTCGTAAATAGTCTCTGGTGTATGATTATTATACCAATATTATGGAGTAACCCGACGAAACATTTTAATGATTTAAGGTTTTTAGAAATATGCCTTTCAGCATTAAATGCAAAAGAACAAGCTCTATTGGTTCCCTTCAAAATTTTTCTTCCAAAATTT